CATTGCCAACTTATGTTCCATGGCCTATAAATCACCATCATATTTTACTGTTATCTGGTGAAGTTTCCATTCTTTTATGGATACAAAGGTCCAGAGAACAAGGGCGTGAAGATTTGGGAATTTGATTGAGTGCTCTACACACTGACTATTTGAAGACATGTAGTGCAGATTCTATCATCAACTTAAAAGTGGCATCCCTTAAAGGGACACTTCAGGCACCCAGACCACTTCTGCCCATTGGAGTGGTCTGGGTGCCAACTCCCACTACCCTTAACCCTGCAACTGTAATTATTGCAGTTTTTTATAAACTGCAATAATTACCTTGCAGGGTTAACTCCACCTCTAGTGGCTGTCTACTAGACAGCCACTAGAGGCCATTTCCGTGTCCCTAGCACAGGAAACCTGTGCTAGAGCGTCGCTGGACGTCCTCACGCTGTGTGAGGACCTCCAGCGTCGCTCATTTCCCCATAGGAAAGCATTGAAAACAATTTTCAATGCTTTTCTATGGGGAGCTCTAATGCGCATGCGCGGCATTGCCGCTCATGCGCATTAGGTCTCCCCGGCCGGTGGGCGGGATCAGTCTCGCCCACCAGCCGACGCAATCATTGGGATGAGCGGCGGCGGAGGAAGAAGCAGCAACTTGGGACATGTCGTTGCCTCTGGTAAGTAACTGAAGGGGTTTTAACCCCTTCAGCAACCGGGGAATGGGGCGGGGTGGGAGGGAGAGGGGACCAGCAGTGCCAGGAAAACTGATTTTTTTTTCCTGGCACTGGAGTTTCCCTTTAACACTTTTGCTCCTGCAACTTATGCTGTTATTTTATATATAACTACAAAAGTAAACATTGCATTACTCTTCAGGAAATGAAAGCTCTACTGTTCATTATGCAACATTTCACTGTATAACAAATTTGTCTTTCTCCTACTGTTTCATCTTTTCTTCCTCTTTTAGAATCTCTCATTCTTTTCCGATCTATTTCTCTTAAAAACTTATTTTTTCCTACGCTTGACCTTTGTGACAATAGGATGAAGCTGAAGGCAAGCTCCACTTAATTGGTCAAGCCGACAAAGGGTGGAGCTTGCCTTAAACTCCATCCTTTGTGTAGATTGTCAAGTGCAAGAAAAATAAACAACACAAAATAGTCCCTACTTTGTATTGTGTTTTAAAGAGAACCAGATCAGAAATTAAGAAAATATGAACCGATTCTGAAAGAAGAAGATATGAGGAAACAATAGGAGAAACTGTTATAGGTGACAGGGACACTTCAATATTGTGTTATTATTAGTTATAATTGTTTGAACATCAGAGTTCTTGTCAGAAACATTTGTATAATTTATCATTGTGTGATTCTAACTT